ATCAGCAGGCCGAGGAGGGGCTGAGCAAACAAGCAGCGTGTAACTCTGTAGTGAACTCAGATTATAAATCTGTGTGTCAAACACTGCGTTTATGTATGAGGTGTGTGGTCTTCAGGTGGGAGGGGCCTAAGACAGAGAGGGGAGAGCTGCAGGAGGTTTGAGGGATGATGAACCTCAGTGACAGGTGGTTCTCTGATTTTAGTGCTGCCATCAGGTTGATTTAGTTTTTCCAGAAAATGTCTCAGCAGCTATTTAATGAATTTGGTGCAGATGCTGACAATCCACAGGGATGATAAATCTTCATCCAACATCATCATCAGCAGCAGCAGGTCAAATGTTTCACTCACATTATCTTCTGAAATATCTCATCATTAATTATCAAAGAAAAGAAAACATGGCTGCTGGAAATTTCAATCACTGATTCTTTTTTATAATTTAACCCTTCAGTCTTTATGATGTCAGACAGCAGCAGTTACAGTCTCAGTTATAGAAAGTTAGTTTACATCCACCTGTTGTTAAAGAATATTTTCAGTGTGCTGATTGGCTGATGGTTTCAGCGCGAACAGTAACTCAGAGTGACTCTGAGGATCGGCCACCCTCACCAGACTCAACTGCTGTAGACCTGATCAGATCCACCTGGACAGACTTGGATCAGAAGTCTACTGTAAGTTCTCCTCTAAAGGCAGGACTCTGCTTTAAAGACCTCAGAGATCACCATCGTCTGTGCGGGTCTCAGCCTGGTCTCTGTCCAAGTCTCAGCCCGGTCTCTGTCCAGGTTTCAGCCCGGTCTCTGTTCAGGTCTCAGCCCGGTCTCTGTCCAGGTCTCAGCCCGATCTCTGTCCAAGTCTCAGCCCAGTCTTTGCCCGGGTCGCAGCCCGGTCTCGGTTTCTGTCCAGGTCTTAGTCTGAAACCTGAGTCATTCACCTATGAGACAGAGTGAGACTCCTTTACAGCAGAGACCTCAGCCTCTCCACAGAATTACCTTCAGACTAAAAATAACCCAATGCATCTCACACACACACACACACACACACACACACACACATACATGTACTGTATATTTACCCATGGGGGGAGGGGGATGTGACAGAATCTTTGCATCATGCTCGGCCGACCGTCTTCCCTCTAATTAGTGACTGTGTTTGTTGTGTTCCAGCTGTGGACGTCTCTCCCAGAGCTGCTGCCCGTCCACACACTCACATACACACATGCACACACACTCACACACACTCAGCCGTCACAGTGAATCTTAAATGATTATAGCAGTGTGACTGAGGTGGTGGGGTATGTGTGTGCTGGCGGTGCCGGGGGGAGCGGTCTTTCTTCAGAGCAGAGGATGGTGTAATGAGATTTCATGAATATGTTCATGCTCTATAAGAATGTTTACTCCCTTATGCAACACAGTGACAGCACTGCAGGGACGTCACAGTTTACTGGGACACTGAAACACAAAAATGACAACACTGCAGGGACGCCTCAGTTTACTGGGACACAGAGACACAACCAGCAGCCCTGTATTTCTGTAATGATGGTGATGAAAGACTGATGGATGTCAGAGCCTCAGATATATTTATACAGAGTCATATGTTCGACACTTCGACCTGCACGACCACACAGGTTGATTGTTTCTACTCTTCTATATGACCAGAACTCAGGTTCTGATGTTTCAGTTGAACAACATCCCTGATGTCACTGAGGTTTAAATATTGCACCGAAAGAAAAGCGAGGAGAGCAGAGAATCTGTGGACGGAGAGAGTCGGTGTGTTTGGATGCTGTAACGACAGTCGGGACCATTTCTGTTTTCTACCTCGACTTCTGACTCAACTCTGTTTGATCAGCAGCCCTGAGCTCTAACAGTCACACCTGATACAGTCACACCTGATACAGTCACACCTGATACAGTAACATGTGATACAGTCACACATGGATACAATCACACCTGATACAGTAACATGTGATACAGTCACACATGGATACAATCACACCTGATACAGTAACATGTGATACAGTCACACATGGATACAGTCACACCTGATACAGTCACACCTGGATACAGTCACACCGATACAGTAACGTGATACAGTCACACATGGATACAATCACATCTGATACAGTAACACGTGATATAGTCATACCTGATACAATCACATCTGATACAGTCACACCTGATGCAATCACATCTGATACAATCACATTTGATACAGTCACACCTGATACAGTCACACCTGATACAATCACATTTGATAGAGTCACACCTGATACAGTCACATATGATACAATCACATATGATACAGTCACACCTGGATACAGTCACACCCAGATACAGTTATACCTGATACAGTCACACCTGATACAATCATACCTGGATACAGTCACACCTGATACAATCACATTTGATACAGTCACACCTGATACAGTCACATCTGATACAGTCACACCTGATACAGTCACACCTGATACAATCACACCTGGATACAGTTACACCTGGATACAGTTATACCTGATATAGTCACACCTGATACAGTCACATCTGATACAGTCACACCTGATACAATCACACCTGATAGAGTCACACCTGATACAGTCACACCTGATACAATCACACCTGATACAGTCACATCTGATACAGTCACACCTGATACAGTCACACCTGATATAATCACATCTGATAGAGTCACACCTGGATACAGTCACACCTGATACAGTCACACCTGATACAATCACACCTGGATACAGTCACACCTGGATACAGTCACACCTGATACAGTCACATCTGATACAGTCACATCTGGATACAGTCACACCTGGATACAGTCACACCTGATACAGTCACGCCTGATACAGTCACATATGAAACAATCACATATGATACAGTCACACCCGGATACAGTCACACCTGGATACAGTTATACCTGATACAGTCACACCTGATACAATCACACCTGATACAGTCACACCTGGATACAGTCACACCTGATACAATCACATTTGATACAGTCACACCTGATACAGTCACACCTGATACAGCCACACCTGATACAGTCACATATGATACAATCACATATGATACAGTCACACCTGATACAATCACATTTGATACAGTCACACCTGATACAGTCACATATGATACAATAACATATGATACAGTCACACCTGGATACAGTCACACCTGATACAGTCCCATATGATACAGTCACATATGATACAGTCACATCTGATACCGTCACATATGATACAGTCACATCTGATACAGTCACACCTGATACAGTCACACCTGGATACAGTCACACCTGATACAGTCACATCTGATACAATCACATCTGATACAGTCACACCTGGATACAGTCACACCTGATACAGTCACACCTGATACAGTCACATCTGATACAATCACACCTGGATACAGTTACACCTGGATACAGTCACACCTGATACAGTCACATCTGATACAATCACATCTGATACAGTCACACCTGATACAATCACATCTGATACAGTTACACCTGGATACAGTCACACCTGATACAGTCTGACTACAGACTGTATACAGACTGTGGCCATGTGGGTGTGATGTAGTAGATGTTGTGAGAAGTAAAGGTGCATATAGAGTGTACGGACGGGAACGCACCATGAAAATAGTGCTGTTCATGTTACGGGTGGTTGCAGTCTGTTTACAGTGGTTAGAGGCGCCAGTTACAGCATAGTCTCTGTGAGAAGGCCCTGCATTCTTTTATGTTATGTTTTCCTGCTGTAGAGGAGAAATGAATGTGCTTCTGCATGGATATCAGTTCTGCATCCTCATTCTTCAAGTAGAGTTGGTCCCCTAGAGCTAGTTACCAGCAGTGAGCCAGGTTGTAAAGATAATCTACAGAAAACCAGTGTCTCCCAACTACGGTTCAGAGCGCCAGACTGGAGAAGGTAACACAGTCTATCACAGTTAGTCAACNACAGAAAACCAGTGTCTCCCAACTACGGTTCAGAGCGCCAGACTGGAGAAGGTAACACAGTCTATCACAGTTAGTCAACAATTAGTATCACCCCCCTCCCCCCTAAAAAAAAAGTTTTTTGTGTACTAATTTTTCATAACCGTTTATGATTTCAAACACGTGTACACGTGTAAACGTGTACATGGACTAACTTGGATACAGTCGCACCTGATACAGTCACACCTGATACAATCACACCTGGATACAGTTACACCTGTACAGATTATCTCTGGTTCTGTACAGATTATCTCTGGATCGGTACAGATTATCTCTGGTTCAGTACAGATTATCTCCGGTTCTGTACAGATTGTCTCTGGTTCTGTACAGTTTATTTCTTGTTCTGTACAGATTTTCTCTGGTTCAGTACACGTTATCTCTGGTTCTGTACAGATTATTTTTGGTTCAGTACAGATTATCTCTCATTCTGTACAGATTATCTCTGGTTCAGTACATATTATCTCTGGTTCTGTACACATTATTTCTGGTTCAGTACAGATTTTCTCTGGCTCAGTACACAATATCTTTAATTCTGTACAGATTATGTCTGGTTAAGTACATATTATCTCTGGTTCTGTACACATTATCTTTGGTTCTGTACCCATTATCTCTGGTTCAGTACACATTATCTCTGGTTGAGTACACATTATCTCTTGTTCTGTACAGATTATTTTTGGTTTAGTACAGATTATCTCTTGTTCTGTACAGATTATTTTTGGTTCAGTACAGATTATCTTTGGTTCAGTACACATTATCTCTGGTTCTGTACAGATTATCTATGGTTCTGTACAGATTATCTCTGGTTCTTCATGAATCAGACTCATTCAGCTCTCAGAGATGCAGCTGGTCACACAGACTGAGCAGATTAGATTATAAACTGATAATTAAACATGTATAAACTAAACAATAGTTTCTCAGTCACCTGAACATTTATCGGTCAGATGAACTGATAATGATGTAATGTTATGATTATTATCCCATCATGTGTTCCTGTATATACCTGTGTTTGTATTTCAGGGCTCTCGGTCCAGCGGGAGGTTGCACAGCTTTGGGAAGAGAGAACAGGCCATTAAAAGGAACCCTAACGTCCCGGTAGTGGTCCGAGGATGGCTCTACAAACAGGTGGGGACACACTAAAACATACTCTGACACGCTCCAACACACACACATATTAGTCATTATCAATCAATCAATCAATCAATCAATCAATTTTATTTATAAAGCCCAATATCACAAATCACAATTTGCCTCACAGGGTTTTACAGCATACTACATCCTCTGTCCTTTGGACCCTCACAGCTGATCAGGAAAAACTCCCCAAAAAACCTTTTAACTGGGAAAAAATGGTAGAAAGCTCAGGAAGAGCAACTGAGGAGGGATCCCTCTTCCAGGACGGACAGACGTGCAATAGATGTTGTACAGAACAGATCAACATAATAAATTAACAATAATCCATATGACACAATGAGACAGAGAGAGAGACAGAGACAAAGAGAGAGAGACAGCAAAGGTGACAGTAGAGGGCCCAGCAGAGGCGACAGCAGAGGGGAAAGCAGAGCGGACAGTAGAGGGTACAATAGAGCGGACAGCAGAGGGTACAGCAGAGGGGACAGTAGAGGGGACAGTAGAGGGTACAGCAGAGGCGACAGTAGAGGGTACAGCAGAGTGGACAGTAGAGGGGACAACAGAGCGGACAGTAGAGGGGACAGCAGAGGGTACAGCAGAGGGAACAGTAGAGGAGACAGCAGAGGGGACAGCAGAGGGGAAAGCGGAGGGAACAGTAGAGGGTACAGCAGAGGGTACAGCAGAGCGGACAGTAGAGGGGACAACAGAGCAGACAGTAGAGGGGACAGCAGAGGGTACAACAGAGGGTACAGCAGAGGGAACAGTAGAGGAGACAGCAGAGGGGACAGCAGAGGGGAAAGCGGAGGGAACAGTAGAGGGGACAGCAGAGGGTACAGCAGAGCGGACAGTAGAGGGTACAGCAGAGGGGAAAGCAGAGGGTACAGCAGAGGGGACAGTAGAGCGGACAGTAGAGGCGACAGTAGAGGGTACAGTAGAGGGTACAATAGAGCGGACAGCAGAGGGGACAGTAGAGGGTACAGCAGAGGGGACAGCAGAGGGTACGGCAGAGGCGACAGTAGAGCGGACAGCAGAGGTGACAGTAGAGGGTACAGTAGAGCGGACAGCAGAGGCGACAGCAGAGGGTACAGCAGAGGGGACAGTAGAGGGGACAGTAGAGGGTACAGCAGAGGCGACAGTAGAGGGTACAGCAGAGCGGACAGTAGAGGGGACAACAGAGCGGACAGTAGAGGGGACAGCAGAGGGTACAACAGAGGGTACAACAGAGGGAACAGTAGAGGAGACAGCAGAGGGGACAGCAGAGGGAACAGTAGAGGGGACAGCAGAGGGTACAGCAGAGCGGACAGTAGAGGGTACAGCAGAGGGGAAAGCAGAGGGTACAGCAGAGGGGACAGTAGAGCGGACAGTAGAGGCGACAGTAGAGGGTACAGTAGAGGGGACAGCAGAGGGGACAGCAGAGGGGACAACAGAGCAGACAGCAGAGGGGACAGTAGAGGGTACAATAGAGCGGACAGCAGAGAGGACAGTAGAGGGGAAAGCAGAGGGTACAGCAGAGGGGACAGTAGAGCGGACAGCAGAGGTGACAGTAGAGGGTACAGCAGAGCGGACAGCAGAGGTGACAGTAGAGGGTGCAGCAGAGCGGACAGTAGAGGGTACAGCAGAGGGGAAAGCAGAGGGTACAGCAGAGGGGACAGTAGAGTGGACAGCAGAGGTGACAGCAGAGGGTACAGTAGGAGAGAAAGCAGAGGGGACAGTAGAGGGTACAATAGAGCGGACAGCAGAGGGGACAGTAGAGGGTACAGCAGAGGGGACAGCAGAGGG